CTGCAGTTTGGATGGCTTGACTGAAAGCAACAGGCTCACGAATATGCCGGGCCCAGAAGTTACCCTCAGCAAAGTCATTTGCAGAAGCAGCCGCCCCAGTCAGCGTTGAAATCACTTCAATTTCCCCTTTTTGTTTTTCTAAAGGTTTTATGCTCTCTTCCAACTCCCCAAGTATCATATCCATGCTAGGGCTGTGGTACGCAGCTGGGACATTTAAAACATGAAGAAAGATGTTTCTCTGGCTGAAGGTTTGAGCTAAATCTCTCTGGACAGCATCCACAGAGTCTGAATTCCCAGACAAGGTGCAGGAGACGGGGCTGTTGAAGGCTGCGATGCACACCTTTCCTGAGTAGCGAGGCAGACAGTCAGCAATCTCTTGAACAGGGATGTTGCCAACCACCAACATTCTGCCTCCGGCAGGCTTTGCCTGCAGCCGGCTCCGGTGATAAATCACTTTGACTGCATCTGCCAGGGAAAGGTACCCAGCAAAATGCGCAGCAGCAATTTCCCCTACCGAGTGGCCAACAGCAGAGACTGGTTTGATGCCCCAGTATTTCAGAAGGGAAGCTGTGGCAACCTGCAGGGTAAAAAGCAAGGGCTGGGAGAGCTCTGGATTCAGCAGATCCTTTGGGCTGTGACCTTTTGGTGGCAGGAGGCTGATGGGAGCGTGCTTCTGAAAAAGCGCTTCTATTTCCTTGCACTTGTCTCTGAACACGGGCTCTGAGCTCAGCAGGGCCTCACTGAACTCCTTCAGCGTGACGCCGTTGCCACAGAACACAAACACCAGCTGTGGTTCCACCTTCCACGGGGCAGGTTCTGTGCTCGCTGCTGACGTAACCGCTTGCTGCAAGTGCTGGAGAGAATTTGTGACAAAGGCTTTTCGGTACCTATAGCTGGCGTGGCTTCTTCTGCAGGCGGACGTATAGGCCAGGCTTGGGAGGGTGACAGACTTTCTTGTGCTCAGCTGGTCGGCTGTGTCGGCCATTGTCATCTGAAGGGACTTACTTGATGCTGCCGACAGAAGAACTAATTCAAGGGGCCTCTTAAAGGCCGGAAGAGACTCTACCTGCTTCATCTGCCTGACTACAACGTGAGCATTGGTTCCTCCAAATCCAAAGCAGTTGATGCCAGCGACCCTTCCGTACTCCCTGGATTCTTCCCAGGGCTCTACGCTTGTGGGAATTGCAAGATTTAATCTCTCTGTATCGATGCTGCTCATCTCCTTGGAGTAATGCAAGGAGGGAACAATCTTTCCATGATGCATCATCAGAAGCACTTTGATTAACCCTGCTGCTCCAGCAGCTGATTCTGTGTGGCCAATGTTTCCTTTCACTGAACCTATTTTCAGAGTGGAAACTTGTGAAGACCTGTTTTTACAAACGACACTACCTAGGCTTTCAGCTTCAGTAGGATCTCCAGCGGCAGTTCCTGTGCCGTGTGCTTCGATGTACTGCACAACTGAGGGATCCACACGACTTTCATAAATGCTGCGCAGTAACTTCTCTTGCTCTATCCGAGACGGTCTTGTGATCGGAGTAATGGACCTACCGTTCTGATTTACTGCACTGATGTTGATAACACCCCAGATTTTGCTGTAGTCTTCCTTTGCCTGTTGCATAAAAAGGCACAACTATCTTTAATAAT